ATATATATATATATATATAAAAAGATTCTGCAATGCCTTATTTGTTTATTGATAGGTTGAGGAGTTGATGTTCCAATTGGCCTGTGATCTGTCTGGAGTGGTGGTAGAAGCTACATTAAAAGAACTACTTCCTGCAATAATAAATTGGGGAAACAAGTTAGACCATATTTTGACAGTTCTACTCTCTCATATCGTAGGCTCTGCTCAGGTAACATTTCACCTTTTGATTTCTCATTTGTCGGTGGGTACTACTGCATTTCTAGTTTGCTATACTTCTCTGTTTTAATATTATTCCCTAATATCTTCAGCGCTGCCCACCTCTTTCTGGAGTTGAAGGGTCAGTGGAGTCCCACCTGCGTGTTCTAGGTGAACGAGAGCGCTGGAATCTTGATGTTTTGTTAAAAATGCTAGCTGAATTGCTTCCTTATGTGCATCAGAAAGCAATTGAGACGTGCCCATTTACACCTGTTTTGGAGTCAAATGTGACAATATTTTCCAGCTCGATCCTTGAATTGTATGCAGGGTAAGCCTTTACTTTTTCTTTGTTGTTTTTCCCAGACTTGCATTTACTTTTTATCTGACTTTTAGAGATAAGCATATGGATGATATTTGATAACTTAGTTATGAGCAGATTTAATTTTGATAAATTTTAATATTCTACCAGGGGACACGTTGAATGGCCTGCATTTGAATGGATGCATGTTGATTGCTTTTCTGGTTTGCTACAGCTGGCTTGCTTGTTACCCCAGAAAGAGGATAATTTAAGAAACCGAACTACGAAGGTATTTTGGTCAATATTGCATTTTAATGAGATTTTCAGCTTTTATGTTTGCTTGTTCTATTGAAAATAGAGCTTTTCTCTTGTTGCTAATTGATATCATGATATTGCAGTTCTTGTTAGGTGTTTCTGAATGTTTTGGGGATTCTTATTTGATGCACATAATGCTGCCTGTATTTTTGGTATCAGTTGGGGATGATGCTGGTTTGACATTTTTCCCTCCCAACATTCATTCAAGAATCAAGGGTATTGGATGCTTAGAATCTTGTTAGCCTTTTATCGTTGCATGTTGTTTAATTATTGCTTGCTTGCAGGTTTGAGACCAAGAACAGCTGTGGCAGAGAGACTTGCTACTCTAGGTATCCTGCCACTTCTCTTGGCAGGTGTGCTAGGATCTCCTGGTATGCGTGAACCGTTGGCAGACTACTTGAGAAAGCTCCTAGTTGAAGGTGCCATGAAGGAGAATCAGTTTACACCACACAACATTGATATTGTTAATGCTGTCCGCTTCCTTTGGTTTGTAATTAAAAACCTTTTGCCCTAATTATTTATTTTTCATTGCTGAATATTTCACAATGAATATTCTTCAATAATGCAGCACATTTGAAGAACATCATGGCATGATATTCAATATCTTGTGGGAAATGGTTGTAAGCTCTAATGTAGAAATGAAGATCAGTGCTGCCAATATATTGAAAGTCATTGTATGTTTCTCTTTCCTTTGAAACAAATATATCCTGCTGCACCTGATAGTAAGATATTGACTACATATATTTAACAGGTGCCATACACTGATGCAAAAGTTGCATCTACACATGTTCTGCCTGCCCTGATTACCCTTGGCTCTGATCAAAACTTGAATGTGAAGTATGCAAGCATAGATGCATTTGGAGCTGTGGCACAACATTTTAAAAATGACATGGTATGGGGTATGGGGTATTTATTCTGATTCATGCTGGTGCAGTTCCTATAAGTTTTCTTATTAGCTCAACATGTTGCAGATTGTTGATAAAATACGTGTTCAAATGGATGCTTTTCTTGAAGATGGATCCCATGAAGCAACCATTGCTGTGGTCCGTTCGCTAGTGGTAGCAGTTCCACATACAACGGAGAGACTTAGAGATTATATCCTTGACTTTCATGTGAAATCAATTTTTAGGACTTCATTAATCGAGTTGTGCATTGTGATTTAGCCATTTTAGTTGTTGCCACTGTCCAATTATTGTGTGAAGCCATTGTTTACTTAACATGATTCACATCTTTTATCCAAGATTTTCCAACTGACTAGCACGACTGTTTCTGCAACTGATGTGATGCGTCGCCGTCAGAGAGCTAATGCGTTTTGTGAAGCCATTCGTGCGATGGATGCAACAGGTTTGCTTCTATTAGTGACAGGAGACTTCTTTTCTCTCCCTTCTCTGTTCTCCATTGGCATCACAGAAAAAGAGAAGGGGGGAGGGGGAGAATAAAAATCTCGGTTTACAAATGAATTAAATCAGTTGAAATGTTCTCATATTAATCACTGATTCTATGTTAGTAGAAAACCACAAGCCTATTATTCATCCGGCCTTCTGAACGGGTGGGATGAGAACAACAGGGTTCAAATCGCCCTCCACCCTTCCTGCCAGAAATTAGTGAACTCAAGATTGAAGGAAAGGTGTCTAGGGAGTTTAATCATTAAATGCTTTAAAATCTCTTTATTATATTACCTTTTTATTCAGCAAAAGCTCAGCAGAAGTTTCAAAGTTTTTTAAATGAATTGCCAAGCTTCACTATCCTACAACACTAAGCAAACATAAAATATTGCTGCTGTTAATTTGTAATAATTTTATTTATGGTTTTCTCCCAAATGGTTCATTTGTGTACTTGCATATTTGCATCTAAATAAGTTTTTTTTTTTTTTAATGTATTTTGGTTCTTATCTCATTTTTGTTCCAGATCTTTCTGCAAATGGCATTCGCGACTTCCTCCTTCCTGCCATACAAAACTTGCTTAAAGACCCTGATGCACTTGATCCAGCACACAAAGAAGCCCTTGAAATAATATTAAAAGAAAGGTCAGGTGGGACTTTTGAGGCTTTGAGCAAGGTGATGGGAGCTCACCTTGGGATTGCATCATCAATGACCAGTTTCTTTGGTGAAGGTGGGCTACTAGGCAAGAAAGAAAGTACTGAATCACCAACTGAGCCAGTTGAATCCCCAAAAGCTGTGGCAGCACCTGCACCGGCAGAGGATACCAGATTCATGCGAATTATGAGGGTCACTGACATGCTTAGAGGCAAAGCAAAAAACCAAGAAGAAACACACTAGAACCAGTGAAGTCAAGTGAGACTGCTGTTTCCTAACTCCTTATGAGATGAATGTATGTATCTTTTTAAAAAACGTTTCATGTCATATACGAGGATGCTACGTTGTAGCAGGTGGTGATTTTTTCATTATAATTTTCTTTTTAAACCATTCGCTATTGCAAATTAAACAATTTGTTTTAATAGAGACGAAGCATGACCTTTTTGTCATAAGCAATGCATTATAATCTTTTTTGTCATAAGGTTTGTAGCTATTGCTATCTCTAAATTGCATTTTGTTGTTTTTCTAGTTATTGAACTTCCATTCTTCGACAGTCTTTAAGGGAGAAAAATAGGTTTAATCAAACAAGTAAATTTTAGAACTCCGAATTTAGTTTAGTTTATTCATATAGTCATCTCAAAGATGATATTCAATGATTTTGGAGTTTAGTTTTCAGTATTTATAATATTTTTTCTTTTCATTTATATAAAAAAAAATTAGTAAATTTAAAATTCAAGATTAACTCGATTGGTTTATGAAATCATTTTTAAGAGATTGTGTTCAGTAAGTTTAGAATCCAAGTCTAGCATTTGGAACTCTTATTTTTATGTTGCGAATCCAAAAAGAAAAAAAAAGAATAAAAAACCTAGTGAATTTAACCAATTAGTGACTGAAATAACTGAATGGAAAACAATGACCAGCTTGCTGTCCAGATAAGTGTTCATATTTTATAAATTTATTCAGGATCAATCCTAGGAGAGGAAAATTAAGTTTGAAAATTAAATCATTCTCATGCGAAAGGTTTAGTAATTAGCAGAAATTGTTAGGATGATTGATTTGGGGTGCATTGCAAATTTCTTTGATCTAATTAATACACATTAAACTTGCATGATCAAAGAGGAGATGAACCTAACCATAAAACACAAATGCATAGGGAAATAAGAATACCACTATGCATAGGGAACCTAACCAGAAATTTTAACCCCGAAATAGGTTGATCATTTATGGAAAGAATCTTTTTAACCTTGATATCAGTAAAAAGAAAATGAAGATTGAGAAAAAAAAAAAAAAAACACAAATGCATAGGGAAATAAGAATTCCACTATTCAGAGAGGAGAGCATAAACTTAACCATAAAAAGAAAAAAATACTATGAAAACGTTAACATAAGAAGAAATAAATTTCCAACAAAAGAAAATGAAGGTAAATGGCAGTGAGACAATTACACGGATAGTTGCCTTGCCGCACCCGAACATTTGCTTTTAATTCGAGCATATTTAACTCATATTTGGTCATTGGCTCATTGCGCCCATACAACATGCGGCCCAAGATTTATGGTCAACTGAACGGCGTGGCGTCAAAACGCACATTATTTTCATGTGACTCCTTCATACTTCCAAGGGTCACCGATCACTAAAATATCCTCTTTCGAAAGAGAATCTATCGAATAATAAAAAAAAAAAAAGAAAAAAAAGATTGTGCCTAGCCGCAACATAATGTTTTTCTTTTCTTGTTAACTGTAATATATTAAATAATACAAACAAAAAATGCATTAAATAAGGCATGACATTGCTTTACCTGGAAATCAGTGAACAAGAAGAAACTGAATTCAATCATCTCCTCTAATAGCTTCAATTGGTTTCAGTTCTGCTTTTTGTCCAACAAAACCTTTGCTTTTCTCTCCATGTGTGCTTGGAGTTCCAAGAAACATGCAAACCAAACAGCAGATTACCCCCTTTAGTCAAAGTCATTGCCAGCTGCAGTACTACAACCGTTGAGATCACAGTAAGGCATAGAACAAGCTTTGGATTGAAGAACTTGACAGGGATTTTCTGGGTTGATGTACATCGTGCTGAAAGGATGTCATTGAATGTTAGGCTCGATGAACCATTGACCAATATTGCATCTTCAAGGCTTGAAGACGTTGATAATGTGCAGTTAAGAGTTGAACTGAGAAATGGGTGTGTTTGGGTGAGGGTGAGGTGCCAATGATTCCTTCGCTTAACTGGAATCAGGCTACTGCTCTTGAGTACTGAGAGAGGCATGTGAATTTCTCGGGCAGGGGCCACCAGTGACCATGAATTTGGCTTTACATCAGATTTCAAAGATTGTTCCTGTTAGTGAATTTCTTCTGTGAGTATACTATGACCTGTCCCCTTCTATGATACCTTTGTTTTTTTTTTTTTTTTTCCAATTTCTTTCTTATTTTGTGTCATATAAAATAATTTAATATTATAAAAAACTAAATAATATAAAATTATTGAATATAATATAAAATTATATTAATTCAAATCATTATTAGGTAATAAAATAAAATATTTTATTTATTTATAATATTATTTAAATAATATCAAGTCCTGGTATGATTAAATAAAATACAACATTATTTGCCAAATACAATATGTTTTATGTTTTCAATATGTAATAAGGGTGAGCACAGAAGTTCGTTCTAACAGACTTATTGGACTAAAATGGACTGAATTTGGTCAAATCGGTATGCTTTATTCGGGTTTGACAATGTTTGGTTAAAAAAAACAGTTTACTAAGCTAATTCGTTCTGTTTTGGATGTTTAAAGTTAATAATTAAATCGATCAAAATAATCTATCCTTTTGCAAAATTCATCAAAGTAGCTACAAAAGAAATATAGGAAGCAGTCGATTTCTCTCATCAAGCAATTGACAGAATCGATCGATTTATTTCAATTCAATTATTTTTAATTATTAAAAATAGATCAATCGATTTTGATTATTTTTAAAAGGATCCGTTAGCTTAGTTTTTGGTTTTTTCATGATCGAATCGATCCCAACTAACCACTCACCCTGTAACAACATTATTTACCAAATTTTTTTTATGTGTTTAAAAATTTGAAACTAAAACAAAAAAAAAACAAAATTTTGGAAAGCAGAAACAAGAAAAGATACTAAGCATGCTTACTCTTGAACTATGCATTGGATCCTTACAAGTTGTATCCACGTAGAAGGTTTGGGCTGGCTTGGAAATGGCATTGATTAATGCAGCTGTTAATAGCATTAATGTGCCCCCATGGAGATTATTTGGAGGAATGTACAATTGTCACGGCCTACGCACTGGTTTAGGCCTAGGGGTTAGACTCGATTCGAGTGACAATGTTAGTTTTAGTGAGACAAAGTCTGACAGGTAGGAGGATCAAGCTCTGAAGAGCATTGGAGGTCCAAGACGTAGGATATAAGCTCCGAACAGTGATATGGGTAGTGACCAAGACTTTAGTGGCTCAGGTAAGGTATTCGAATTTTGTAAAATTGAGCTAGGCCTAGGTGCAGGTATTAATGAAGATGCAGGTGTAACAGACCACACATAAGTCCTAGCCCAAGTGGGTCGTGAGAAGTTATCTATTTGAATTAGTGCGAGCAAAAGACCAGAAAGGATAGAGACTAAGGTTCTAAAGATACATACGAGACTCAAGTATATAAGCCGCGGTGCGAGAGTATGACAATGTGAGCAACCTAGTGCGGGGAATGATGGCTACTTGTTGGAAATATTTAGAATGCCCTGGAAGAGTGGCATGGGCAATAAGGCATAAAAGGCTCTCGATTAGCCTGGAGACAGGTTAAGCATACAGGCATAGAAGGGTCTACAATAGCATGGAGACATGACAAGTGCATGGGTATGGAAAGGTCTAGAGCAGCCAGGTAAATGAGCACTGAAGGTTCTAGAAAGGCTAATTGTGGGTATAGTACCAAGCACTGTAGCACCAAGACGAGAAAGACTCTAGAGGGCCTTAGTTGTGAGCAAAATAGTGACTAGATGGACAAAGTTTTGGAGCAGGTCACAGGCTTCTATCTTAAGCCAAATTTCGTGCGTCCTTAGATTGGGAATGACTTCGTATACTTAAGTTAGCCTATGAAACTCAAGTGTGTGGGCACAAAATAAACTCTGAAAGGTAAAATACAAAAGCTTAAAATCATAAAGGAATGCTCAATGGTGAATGATACAAATGAGAGTGGGTTGGTCTTTTATTTAACTTGAGGCCCTAGCACTGTTATGGTAGTTTATAATATTAAGGGATTACATTTTCAAATTCAAAATACAAATTACATCCTTGATCCTAGGATTGATCAGGTCCTCCTCTATTCTGGGCATGTGTTGTAGATTTTTTATGCCTCTAGATACTTCTAGGTCGGCACCATTTTTTTGGGCCCACCTGGGTACGATGCCGGCATGTTACGGATATGGTACCGGTGCTACGAGTAGGACTAATTGTTGGGCAAGCGATCTTAATGCTTCTAACATGATTATTGCATGAACCCCCGATTCTATCTCTGGTGTTCTAGCCTTGGTCATTGATGCGCGATCCTTAGCTTCTGGTATGCCCGTTCGGTACGTGACATTTTCACCCACCTAATCTCACGACGGCTTTATCGCATATTTTGTGTGAAACTACTTGATCTGATCCTAGAAATGCCATAGGTTTGCAAGCTGGTACAAGCCCAAGGGTGCTCTCCAAGTCGAGTAGCAAAACAAGTTCAAGTCTTCCAAGCTTAATGGGAAAGGCAAGGGCAAGAGAGATCGGGAGCGATAGTCCAAGGGTGGAGACTATGATCAATAGGCCAAAGAGGGAGACTGAGACTGTTCAGCTAAGGATGGCCAAGGAAAGTCACCAGTAGGGAAGTGAAAGGCTAGAAGAGACAAGAACCATTGAGTAATAACATCTTTACTCTTACCTTAAACTTTTTATTGTTCTTTTGTTAGCCTTTCTTTAGGCACTTGCTATACCTTTTCATTTTGCAGCATATTGGGTGGCTAAGCCCCATAGTCTAGAATGTCCATGCACTGTTTCTTGTGTTAAGTTGATATGAGATATGGAAGAGTCCATTCTTATGTTTTGGAGTTATGTGAGTCTAAAGCTTGAGTTTTGACCTGTGACAAGTGATATCAAAGCCTGATTCGGGGGAGCTAGGAGTAGGCCACAGAGTTTGATACTAAATGTATCAAAGCCTGGTTCATGAAAGCTAGGAATAGGCAGTAGAACCGAATACTAAAGGGTATTAGAGCCTGGATCAAACTAGAGGTGGTGACTAGAGCTTGGTTTAGAGTGTGTAACAAATCCCTCTTCATGACAAAAGGAGTTAGAGTTTTTATGATAACCAGAATTGGCTAGAGAGCCAGAATTGACGTCGGTGAGTTAGAGTTAGGTTGGGGGACTTGCATGCAGATATCCTAATGTGATGTGCGGGCATTGTGGTAAGTTGTGCAGGCATTCTACTGTGTGTGCAGACATCTTACTATGTGTGTGAACATTTGACTGCATGGCGCGAGCGGTTTGGTACATGGTGCATGCATTTTAGAAGGGCTACTATGCTCATATGCTGATGAAACGCT